TATACTATATATATATATATATATATCTATCATAAAAAAAAAAAAAGAATAACATGAAATGACAAATATGCGCAGCGCTAAAATAGTTCAGTGGTAGGCAAAATGACACTTTCGCTATTACCGAAGCATCTCTTCAAACATGAAGATTTGTACTCTTTACATGAAAGACACCATCATTAGTGATAATAATGTGCCTGTTTCTTTCATGATTAGATGTTATTCAATTGTCCCGAGCTTCATCAATTGGAAGTCATAATAGACGTACCAACATAAATGTCAGGAAAGAACTGATCAATATTTTTGACCTGAAACTCTGATTCTGCCGGTAACGTTTCGCAAAGGAACCTTTGATAATTATCAAACACACGGTTATCCGGGGCGAGCGCACGTAAGGAAACATTTACATAGGAGGATCTGCCTCCGATTTCATATGGACTTATGAGACCAATAACGTACGGAAGCTGCGCATATGTCGAAATTGCACGGGGGATGACTAAGTATGGGGATCGCTCTGGTATGAATTCATAAAACATGCTTACACTGTAGCTCTTTACAAAAGTGAATTCGCGTACCGGGTGATCTGTGTCGAAGGAACTGTTGAGATCAATATTCATAACCGACGCATCCCTATTTCCGTGAGCAATGCTTATCATAATGGGAGAGTGTTCCACCTTATTCGTCCCCTGCTTGTCATCCTGTGTGAGAATAATGCTCATCACCGTGGGCCTTTGGACGCTGACGAGCAGGCAGCACGTCGGGACATTCTGAACGAAGCAACCCCGAATGCGGTAATCATACATGGGACTCTGAAGAAAGCAAACCCCACAGCCAATGAAATACTTCTGAACGTCAGACCACTCCATGCAGAACATGTTGTCGTCTTGATGGCTTATATTAAAGTATTCCGCAACTTTGGGATATTTGGTCCAGTTCTCATCGTTTTTGTCCCACGGTATGTGATGCTCCGGCGGAGATTTAGCCCATACGTTGCGAAATTGCACCATACGCAATTGGATATCCGGGAAGTAGGCCATTTTATATACCGCATAGCAACGCCCAAGAAGCAAATTAGCGCTGATGTATATACTCTCGGCTTGCTGGATTTTGGCGCACTGCATGCCCACACGAGAGTTCATAATAGTTCTATGAGTGGGTGTAGTAAAGATTATCAAGTAATTATTTGTGCAATGCTGCGCAAGGTAATCAAAAAGGTTTGCCGAGTCGAATTGGTTGCCATTGATGAATACGCTGTCAAAGGGGGTACATGGAAAGCCAGTGATGTCCTGAAGAGCATGAAGGGGGTCACCAGACGTGAGAAATCCATAGCCACCATAAAGCTTGGCATAAGCTTTTTGAAGAATCGAAACCCAGATCTCCGCTGGATCTCCTTTAGAACGCGCGAACGCGGGCCGGCCGCCAACCACCGGTAAATAATCATCCATCACCACGTTGACCCACCACCCGTCTTTGTTTAAAGTAGCGCGGTAGATCCCCAAGCTTCGCTCTCGCTTCCCTCGCTCGAGGCTTTGAGGATGGCGGAAGATATCGCGAATTTTGTCCGGGAACTCGGCGAGTGCAGCGATGGCCCCGATCACCCAGGAATCCCCCAAATCCCCCTCATCGATGTTCTTTGGATGAACTCCGTTCCGAAAAAGACGACATTGCGATGTGTTGGCGTCGGAGAGATACATTCTCGGACGCTCCCACGGCATGAGTCTCATCTTGGTCTGCGAGCCCACTTGCAGCGACGTTTGTTCCGGTGGGAAGAACAAATCAACGAATTTGAGATTATTTTGAATGCAGGCATCGATCAGCTTCTCAATCGGAGCATTTCTGCCTGTAATTTTAAACAAATCTGCACTTTCTTGTTTGATCACCACTTCATTTTGGCGCGCTACGTCAGAGAGGTACTCCTCGGTAAGGGGCTGCAGATGGATGTTGCTACTATACCCATTTACGGTACCTTCTATAAATAGCTCAGTTTCCATCGGATAAACATTAACGGTGGCGCGGAAAGATCCATCACCGAGTGTTTCGAACGTTGTGTTATCAAGGGCAACAATGGATGAATTCGGACCAAATGTGAATTGAACGCATATTTTGGCATCGAGGGTATCATTATAAAATGACCAACGATTTTTGTTGTTTTTTTCAATAATGCGGTATAAAACACCATGAGTGAAACAGCTTGTGGTTTCACCACTGTATAGAGGTTGACCCCATTTATATCCCTCTTGATTTGAGTTGAGAGGGGTGACAGTTTCCTCATCAAATTCATCAGCCTTCATATTGCTTGACATTGTTTTTTCCCTTTTTTTCGGAGATGGCAAAGATTGTAAAAAAACGATTGATAATAATACTTAAGCTTGTTGATTCAAACAGATAAGAAAGTGGAAAGGAATTTGGCGTAAAACCATAATAAACAGATAAGCATACACGCTTTGCATTTACATATTTTTTCTGTTTCACTTTATGTTTATTTCATTTTTTAAATGTATAAGGATATCTAAGAAAAAATAGGGTCATACTCAGAAAAACAAAATAATATTATTATTGAGATCATCATGAAGCGAATGATTTAAAGGGTAGAAAGATAAACTTTTAACGGAAGAATGTTAAACTTATGTATATATAGTCTTCTTTTTCACAAATTAACACCCTAATGAGAACTTCTCATAGTTTCTTTATTCAAGCATCAAAGTATTTCAAGCTGATCATTTAATTTCAAGAGATGGATTGAAAAAGAATCAGAATTTGATTAATCACTTTAATCAAAATAAAAATAGGTGAATGTATAACTAAACTTCGTAAAGCTTCATTAAAAGCAATATTCCTTTTATAAGGATTCGGTTTCGAAACGTTGCTGGAAAAGTTAAATCCTGAAAATAAGTACATAGAATATAGAAAAAATATATATATTCCATAGTAACCCTCAGAACGGATGTACCTCTTGAAGCTATATTTTAGCCTAAGAAGCAAACAATAATGGTAAACATTTGACAAATGGCATCTTGCTTAAATTCCTAGCTAGCACCACCACCACATTCATATTAGAATTAAATAAAATATCATAGCAAAACCGTATCATTGCATTACATAAGGAGATTACATTATAGAAGATAAAAGTTTAGAGGACCTTTTTGAGGGGAGAATAAAGCTCTCTATGGAATAGGTTATAAAATTTTACGAGTCTTTAAGATAAAGGCACCGCTCAAAAATAAGTTATTCTCCTCGATAAACATATATGAAGTCAAACTAGTCTTGTTCATTAAAGAAAAAAATAAAAAAAAGCATTTGTGAAAAGGAATAATTAAACATATCCACACAAAAAAGGTAATGTTAGCTTATTGAATACAAAATCCAATCTCAGCGACTGGGAACTCAGAACTTGGTGGACGTTTTTGGTAATGCACTTCCACAACGCTGGTTTGCAAATCTGGCTCAAACTCCGGGAAATCAGAAAATACAGGATTTTTAAAATCCATGAATTTGAAATTTACCATTAGATCATTAGTTCCAACTTCCCTGTTGGTTATCATGCCTAAAATAAATGGGACTTCATCAGGTTGATTTTCAGTTTCCATAAGACGCGGGATAACGATATACTTACCTGCATCAAGTGTATAAAAAAGGGAAACATCGCGTGCTTGGGTAAAGGACCACTTTTTCTGACTTGGGTAGTACGCATCAGCGGTAGAATTCAGAATGATTTCGTACGTATCCTCTTCTAACGGGGCTGCAATACTAATCATTGTTGGCTGATACTCGGTCGAACCCTTCTTTCCGCGTTTGTCTTCCAAGAGAATCATAAATAGAAACCGTGTCGGATACTTCAGTTCGATTTCCAACACTGTTGATGGCACACGATTGTAAAAGGTGCAGTCGATCCGATAATCATAGCATGGGCTCTGAGAAACACACACTCCACCCCCATTGAAGTACTTTAGGACACTTTCCAAGTCCATCCAGAAGGTTCCATCATTGGAGCCTTTGAAGTTGCATGCTTTCGCAATATGGGGGTATTCCTCCCACTTTTTGCTCTCGTCACTCCATTCACCGTTCCACGTGAATTCAAGTCCCCATGCATTGCGTATCTTAACAAGGTATACATTTATTTCGGGAAAGTGTCGAGAATCAATAACTGCATAGGCATTACCAGTGATCAGACCCAGTTGATGGTATTCTTTTGTCAAATCACTGTTACTGTCCAAGATGGGGTTCTTGCCAGGGGTATTGAAAACAACGAGAGATCCATCACCTAACGCGTTCTTTACTATTTCAAATACTTTGATAGCTGAGGAAATGGATCCAGAAAGCATGGTATCGAGACGAGTGCTAGGAAAACCTGTCATATCTTGAATCGCCAAAAGAGGGTCCCCACTGCAGATTGCTCCATAGCCCCCGTGTAACTTTGCAAACGCCTTCTGGAGAATACATGGCCAAATCTCAGCGTCGTCTAGAACGCTGCGAGCGAACTTTGGGCGACCAGCTGAAATAGGCAAATAGTCGTCGACAATAATGCTGCGCCACCATCCATTTTTGATGAACATCACACGGTACGCACCGATAGCTCGCTCTTTTAGAGCTTCTTCTTTTCCATCTGGGTGGCGAAACATATTCATCAAACGGCTTGGGAATTCTGATACAGAAGCCACTGCACACATTACCCACGAGTCTCCGAGTTCACTGCGATAAGTCGCACCAGGTTTTACAGGGTAACGGAACAGGCGTACCTGGTCAATCATTTCTTCAGGAAGATACATGGATGGACGGGCCCAGGCAAAGGGCTGTGATGGCTTTTCCGCACCTGAATCAAGTGATTGCTGACATGGTGGGAATTCGGGATCTACAAAGGGGAGCTTGCAGATAAGGCATGCTTGCAAGACTTCTTCTGCCTTATCACTTTCACATATCTCGCGAATCTGCTTGATTTCTTTTGCAATATGATTATCAGTTATACGCTGATGAGCCTTGTGGTAATCATCAGTCAAGGGCAAGGCACGTATGCTGCTTCTGAAACCATTCACAGAGCCTTTTACAAACATCGCTGTCTCAGTGGGATGCACAACCAGTTCACATTTATATTCATTTTTTATATTTTTTTGCATGGTAGTCGCGCCCAGAGGCTGGATATTAGAGCGCTTCCCAAATACAACGCTAATGTGCATTTCATGTTTCAGAGTATCGTTATAAAACGCCCAAATTTTTTCGTCTTGATTGATGATACGATAGAGAAGGTTCGGTTCATCAAAGCAGGATGTAACGTCACCTTTAAAGTCGGGATAGCCATTCTTGAACTTGGAGTAGAAGATTTTGTTGTCATCATCATCCTTATAAATAGGAAAAGTACAAGTTGACATTTCAAATTCATCATCGCTTTCACCATCTTGGTGAAAGTTAGCAGGTTCCCAATTATGCACAAGTCTTGGAATATTTTTCGGTAGGACAACACGAACTTTGGGTATATTTACTTTGTAACCCACCTCTTTATAAAACCCAGGAAAAGCTTCTTCGCTTAATTTCCCTTGCAAAGGAATCTCAACCTGGTTTGCAATAGTTTTATTGTATATCTGCGGACGCTTGTGTCTATGTTTTTTTTCCTGAAGCAAGTTTAACAAATTTTCGTCATTTTGGTCATTCTCTAAATCCATCTGATCATCATTTACAAAATCTTTTTCATCGTTAAAAACAAGATCGATAGAATGAACAGTATCTTCTGGTGTTTGAATGTTCTTATCAACCATAGATTCATGCTCAATCGTTTTTGTATGAAGGTTATCTGCATGCGTTTCATTGAGATTATTGGTTAGAATGTCGTTTTCGATGATGTATGTGTCCATTTTGACTTTAAAAGAATAAAGGTGTTAAAATGGCAAATAATAGGATTAGCTTGTTAGTGAAAAGATATAAATGAAAAATATTAGAAGAAAAAATTATAGGTGATAACTTTTAAATTTCTGCAACAGGTGATACTCATAAAAAATTGTATAATTAAAACAAAAACCCACTTTACGTTAATTTACACAAAAACATTTTTAGATAAATATAAATTTAAGAAAGGTATTTATTTCTGAAGCTGGTTATCTCAAAACTAAATTAAAGATGTAAATCAGAGCTGTGTTTTTAGCTAAAAGATTTTTTATCCCATAATATTAGTAAAAATTCAGGAATTAAAAAAAAATGTTAAATTTAGTCCATAAGCATAATAAAACATCTTTGAGTGCAACGGTTAAAATAGTGTTCAATTGAAAATATAGTGATTCGATAATTTAAAATTAAAGAAATTTAAATTTCTTTAATTTAGAATGCAAAGAAAAGCTTTTAAACAATTATCAGTGGTGTATCAAGATTTAGTTCTATCACGTCAAAAATTTCAACAAAAAAACACATGGCATTTAAATATATATTGATTCAAAATATTTTCTTTTTTTGGGGGGGTCATTTTCAAAGTGTAACCTGGAGTTTTAGAGGTAAAGTATTTAGTTTTAGAAATAAAAACTAAAGCGAATTAGTCTTTTACATAAAATAGGTATTGAAATGGTCACTTCCAAATTAAAGAAAGCCTTCCTTATTTGCTTCCACTAAATGTTATTATTATTTCAAGGAAATAATAATACATGAAAAGCGTCATGGTTTTGTGTAATTGGTATTACACTATTGTGATTAAATGTTTTGATGTGATTTTTGATAGCAAAAGCAGAAAATTTTTTACTCAAACTTGAAGAAATCTTCATAAAGTTCACAATGTTTTTAATAAGAAAATATAATAGTCTTAAGCTTTATATATATTGACGCATATATATATATTCATCAAATTAAATTAAATAAATAAATTTGGATAGATTATAAACTAAATGTTAGCTAGTTTCAGCCATTAAAAAAAAAAAAAGCACTTTTCGTAGAATATATGTATACACCTATTTTCATAAGATATTTGCTATTTCAACGTAAGAGTATAGATATATTATTACTTATAAGATGATCTTATTTAAGAATCATACAACTAATGGATGGAGAAAATGGAACTCAAAGTTTAATAATAATAAACTTATAAACAGTTTATTATTTTTCAAAATTAAGAAAATGAACAATACGTATAGATATATATTCAAATGGTAAATAATATAGTTTTGGATAAAATAGACTTATACAAAGTCTTTGATCATCTAGGTGATAAATAATGTAATTTCTTAAGTTATGTTTATATTATACCATGATGATAAGAATAATAAGCATATAATTATATTGAGATTATGAAACGTCTTAATTTATAGGTGCAATAACTTTCAAAAAATAATAGATTAAAAACAACATCAAAATATTATATAAGATTTTAAATGTTATACAATACAAATTGAAACAGAATGTGACTTTTCTGTAACTTGTTTCCAAAGCATTAACAATGTGTATACATCAATTTTTTTGATAAATTTTTGATTTAAGAATATATTTATGATTTAGCGAAATTTCTGAAAAAAAAATTGATAAATTTTCTTTAACTGTAACCTATACTAAATGAAAGGAAAGTTAACTGCACTTTTATTAGTATGATATCCGAACAAACACATCATTGCAAATACGAAATAGACTAAAAAAGAATAGAAAACGAGATGAAGACCCATTTAAGCTCTATTTGTGTACCTATAAAAAAAATGTGTAAAAATGCGCCAATAAATAGATATTAATAAATCCCAACATGACCACTATTAAATCGAAAACCGCCAACACACATTGAATTTTTGCAGCCAAGAACCCCCCTACCCCTTTCAATAGCCGCAAGTAGGAATAAAAAAAAAGTCAATATAACCCCCTCCCCTTTTTTCTATGAATTTATCCTGTGTATGATGATAAGTGTTGAATCCCCATTTTGACATATCAGACCAAAAAAAAACTTTTATAGACTCATTTATCGGGTTTTCGGTGGGGCGCCAATTTCCCCATTTATTTTGGGCGAGGTGAAATTTGAAACAAACAATTCATAGCAATTAAATGTAACCAATATCATGCGCTTAAATTTTATATAATAGTGAAAAATATTGCATATTACGTT